TCAGGCTTGCAGAATTAGTAGTACAGCAGTTGCAAGCCATTAAGTTTCCCAGTGCTCTTGAGGGGAATGAGATTAGGCTCTAAATTTAAAAGCAAGTTTGGAGATTCTTTGCTTCAAATCCTTTGAGGTAGTGTGATGTGCAACTCAAGACTGAGATTCCTTCAAGCCAAGATTAAGAAATATAAATATAAAGATATATATATATATCGTATAGAGAGACAAACATGCAAAGTAAACGTGTCAGTGGCGTGCTGTACTATAAATAAGGAAATACTTTAACCTTTCATTAGAGCAGCTGTTTCCTTGCACTTGATGCAACATCTGCTTGACTGATTTAAGGATTTATTTTGGGCTTCTACTGACATTTGGTGATTTTTTTTTTTTTTAATGAAAATAATTCCTCCTGCATTTTACACATTCTTTATAGTATATCCTGTAAAATTATTAGTTTACATTGATTTGCCTTTTATAATTCAAAGTAAGACTATAAGAAATGCTCTTCAGCAACAAAAAGGTTCAGCACTATTAACTTATCCATCTTGCAGAGGTGGGGGAGAAAGAAGGAACTAACATTTTTCACTTTACCCCCCCCCCCCCCCCCCCCCCCATTGCTTATATTGTATATTAACTGCAGAAGTATGACTTAATCAAATTTTCCAGGAAGCCAAGTTAGTTTTGGTTATTTCTCTTGTGATATTCTTCTCCTTTCTGTATTCCCTTCAGCGTGGCTGGTGATCGTAAAACTCAGTAGTGAGAATAAAAAGAAATGTGTCTCCTTAATGTTATGCTAGCTGAAGAATAACTTTATTTCTATATTAATGCTGTGTCCTAATCATGTTTTAAAGACTAATCTTCTGGGTTTTTTTTATCATCTTCTTGTAGGATCCGAATCAGACAGTTCAAGGGAGCTGATGGTTTGGTGTTATTGTCCACTGCCTAGGAAAGTGTCAGAATCCTCAAAACAGCTAATCCCCACCACAGATAAACTACACACAGATGAAGGAAAAGAAACCCTTAGATAACCTGCATAAAATCAGACTTGGGGGACTGGACAAGCTGGAGAGGTGGGCCTGTGTGAACCTCATGAGGTTCAACAAGGCCAAGTGCAAGGTCCTGTACCTGGGTAGGGGCAACCCCCAGTATCAATACCGGCTGGGGGAAGAAAGGATCGAGAGCAGCCCTGCCGAGAGGGACTTGGGGGTACTGATAGATGAAAAGCTGGACATGAGCTGGCAATGTGCACTCACAGCCCAGAAGGCCAACTGTACCCTGGGCTGCATCAAAAGCAGCGTGGCCAGCAGGTCAAGGGAGGTGATTCTGCCCCTCTGCTCTGGTGAGACCTCACCTGGAGTCCTGCATCCAGCTCTGAAGCCCTCAGCACAAGAAGGACATGGAACTGTTGGAGCAGGTCCAGAGGAGGGCCACCAAAATGATCTGAAGGCTGGAGCACCTCTCCTATGGAGAAAGGCTGAGGGAGTTGGGGTTGTTCAGCCTGGAGAAGAGAAGGCTGTGGGGAGACCTGATTGCTGCCTTTCAGTACTTAAAGGGGGCCTATAGGAAAGATGGGGACAGTCTTTTTAGCAGGGCCGGTTGTGACAGGACAAGGGGTAATGGTTTTAAACTAAAGGAGGGTAGATTTAGACTGGATATAAGGAAGAAATTTTTTATGATGAGGGTAGTGAAACACTGGAACAGAGCAGTGGGGTAGGCCCTATCCCTGGAAACATTCAAGACCAGGTTGGACGGGGCTCTGAACAACCTGATCGCGTTGAAGATGTCCCTGCTCACTGCAGGGGGTTGGACTAGATGGCCTCTAAAGGTCCCTTCCAACTCAAAGCATTCTATGATTCTATGACTGCTTGGCCAGAGGGAGCAAGCTGAGAGGGGTTCCTCAGGAGCCAGTTAGAGGAAATGCGGGGGGAAGCGAGTGAGAGGCAGGAGGGCTGCTGGTGAAGAAGCTCCTCACCACTGGTGCCTAAAGCAAGCACTGCTGCCGAGTACTTGGGGTGGGTTGGTTGGTTTGTTTTTTAAACAAGGTGGCCCATTCCCAAGTACAGTAACAGTTTGTGACTAAACCTCCTAAATTTTTGGCAGTATGTTGGTGTTGTAATGAGATGCATTAGTGCTTAAAGGATAATTAAAGATAATGAGGTACAGAGAAAGTGGAAAGGAGCGCAGTACACCACGCCTCTGAAAGCCAGAGCATGGCAAGCTGACTTCTGATGAAAAGAACTTATTTTCTACATAGACGTTTTTATAGTTTCGTCTGCATACGTACATCGTAACTGATGTGGTGCTGTATTGTACACTGTTGGTTAAATAGGAGAAATTAGGATTTAGTAGAGAAATTGTGAGTCTGTGTAGGGGCCTAATATAAAGGACGTAGCTGAGAGGAGGGGGAAACGAGCTCAGAGAGAGCTCCTTATTGGAATCGTTGTGGATCAGTTGTCAGATCAGTCTTATGTTTCCTGATTCATTTAACAACAAAGGTACGTGTAAAGGGATCTTGCTGCTAGAATTTGTTGATGACATGAAGTTTGAAAAATGCTTTTAATGTAGAAAGAAAGGTGTTACACAGAAATTTTTAGGGGATTTCATAGGCCCCAGGCCCAGACATGGGGGACATCTGAAACATCTTTGTGGTGCAGAATATTTCTTTCTGTGTAGCCTCCTTTCCTTGGGACAGATGGACTAATAGGAGTGGGATGAAATTTGGAGCCTTGTGCTTTAGGCTGTTACAGCCAAAATGTCAGTTATAAGCTTGGAGGCTGAATAATTGGAAGGATCAAAGTAGAGAAGGGTATGGGGTAAACTGAGCAAACCGTGTGGTGCAGTTATGAGGAAGGTACATATGCTCTTGGGACACAATCACAGAAGATGTTTCCAGTAGACAAATTAAATTACTGCTGCTGTTATACAAGCATCTGGCTGAGACATCATTTAGTATGCTTCAGAAATAGCCATCTATTTTGAGGAGAAAAGAGAAGAAACTGAAATGTGCAGAGGCAGGCTCCTAGGATGAATGGGGAAATGGGTGTCTCACTAGAGAAAGCCCGAAGAGCTTGTCTTGGGTAGTGCAGCTGAAGAAACCATACATGTAAGTGTTGTCTATACATACACAAGTGGAGATAGCTAAGAGGGGGGGAACTCTACTTAAACTGAAAGATAATATAAGCAAAACAACAAGTGGATGTAGTCTGGCCATTGCTACATTGAGGCATAACATTTTGAAGTTGTAATTCATTACAGTAGTCAGGTTTTTGGAGTAAACGGGAATAGTGGAACTTGGTCTGTTTTTTCTGCTAAATCTCAGTGAGGTTTGAAAATAGTTCCATAATCACTCTGGAAATATCAAAAAAAAGCAAGACTTTAATGTTTATAGCCAGACATGTTCTGAATTTTATACATAATTGTCTTTCACAAAA